TTAAACTCTTCAAGATACTGTCCCTATCTGCTTCGGTCTCGAGCCTGAGCGAAGGTTTTCCGTACCGCGGGTGTCAGGTGCCGCTGGATCGGTAGATCCAGCCTGACAGTTGGTGTGGCCCCCTGGGGAGCATCACGGGGGTCGTGGTTTCGCCCCTCACCAAGGGGGAGAGTGTGCCTTCTGCATGCTCTCCAATTGGTACAGTACTACGGTGCTGGAGCGCTGGTGGGCGCTTTTCCGCCTGTGGCTCAGCCACTGTGAGGTAGGCCTATTGGCAGGAACTCACATAAAACTCTTCTTCAAAAATGGAAGAGACATGAAATGTTATAATGGAAGCACATGTCAAAAATGTGGAGGAAACCACAACACATTAATGCATAGAGAGAAAAAGGGCAACACGAAAGTAATGAACACCAATGCAGCAGCCAATGTTCTACTGGCAACGGCACAAGTACGAGTAAAATCATTGCAAGGAGAATTTGTGACAGTAAGAGCACTAATAGATCAAGGGTCACAAATAACTTCAATATCAGAGGATGTGGCTGAACTGTTGCAATTACCAAAGAAGAAAACCGAAATCATGTTACAAGGCCTAGGTGAGACGGTAGTTGGTGTGGCAAAAGCAAAAGTGGCGATAGAAATTCGGCCAAGATTTGTAAATGACATAAAAATTGTAGCCGAAGCCCTAGTTCTGCCGAAATTACCATCAGCTTATCCTGATAACAGCTTCCAGTACAACATTCAACGATGGAGGAACGTAAATCTGGCCGATCCAAATTTCAACAATTCAGAAAGAATCGATCTGGTAATTGGGGCTGACATATTCCCACAAATATTGGAAAAAGGAGTTCGGCATGAGGCAACGATCGTGGGGCAGAACACGAAGTTGGGCTGGATTCTTTCGGGAGCTATACCAATGAAGCCTGATACTACTAGCAAAGATGCGTATATAATCCCGCCGGCAGATCCTATCATAGGAGTAGAGCCTCACGACTCACCACAAAGTGATGCTGCTCAACAACAAAGACAGCCGCCGCCTCTAAAGAAAGTTATTGCTACCAAGGTTACCGGTACCGTTAAATGGTTCAATGTCAAACGCGGCTATGGTTTTATTATTCGGGACGACACTAAAGAAGATGTGTTTGTCCATCAGAGTGCTATCATCAAAAATAATCCCAAAAAAGCCGTACGCTCCGTTGGCGATGGCGAAATTGTCGAATTCGACGTTGTCATCGGCGAAAAGGGCAGTGAGGCTGCAAATGTAACCGGCCTCTTCGGCGAACCTGTACGTGGTAGCCAATTTGCTGCCGATAAACAGCGCACAGTGGGTTAGAGTACCATGTTTTCTTGGATCAAATCAGGGAAGCTATGTTAGAATAATTTTTCTTTATTTTTCAGTTAATACCATTAAAATAAGTTTAAAAAAATGTTTTCTAAGTATATTTGAGTATAATTTTATTAAGTAGTGCCAAATATCAGTGTAGGTATATAGTGGAAGGGGTACAATATGATAACTTAAACATTGATTTTTATACATCTTAAAGTTAATCATCCACATCGTCATCATCCGCAGCCAGGGATGGTCCGTATGACGAATTTTCAGGTTTTCGACTGTCAAAAGGTATAAACGTCGAAAACGTCATATACCTGTATAAAATGTAGTAAACGTCATTTATTTCAATATTATCACCATATACAGTAATTTTCAAGAACATATATTATTTTTACTGTATATCTGGCTATTCTATACTAGAAATGATAAAAATTCTGAATTTAAAAAAAAAAAATTGGATATTCGATATGAATTTGAGGAAAGCATACGTTATTTCCAAATCGATAAATGTAAATAGCTATTTTATAAAAAACATAATGGTTTTGAGTGGGTTTCCGACGTTTCTGACGTATGTATTATACGTTGGAAATGTATGTCATTTACGTCACAGGCCATCTCTGTCCGCAGCATCACCAACTTCTGATAATTGTTCAATATGTAAAAGGGCATTTGACACAATTTCGGGTCCGTGAATAAAAAACTTGTGCAAAGTGGTAGGCATATTATACCAAGGATACATTTCAACAAAAAGTCGTCCTGTATTGTGTGCATATATTTGAAATTTTTCAGTATTAATCTCATGGCCACTGGATACAGCTATAACCGACACGTGCATTTTTATTAAATTAACATATATTTTTGTTATTTCGGCAGATTTTTTTAGGGTTTTGTCATTCATTGTTTGAGCGCTCAAATTCATCATAAGCTTCGACGATTATAAAAAACAACGTTCGAACTTGTACCTATAAAAAAATGCTAATAAAGAACCATTTTACCCGACTACTTGAAACTGCACAACACAATCAGTATTTGTCAAAACAATCAATATAATAAAAATAAACAAAAGCAAAATATTATTGTAACAAAGAATATTATTAAAAGAAACAAAAATAACAACAATAAAATAATTAGAAAAAATAACATGAAAAACAAGAAAACACAACACTCAACAACAGCACCAGCCACGAGATCAATGTGACTTTTAGCTAATTTGACTGCTGCAACACTTGTATTAAACAATGCATAGCTTCTAAAAGGCACAAAAGGGCAGCGTATAATTTTGCAATATAACACAGATTTATGTCCTCTTTAATATAAACCAAAAATTATGACACGAATGTGGACGAATAATAACTATTTATCCATTTAAAATATAAATATATTATTTTTTTTGGCATTTTCAATATAAATACCTAAATTTTAATCACTTCCAAACACAATTTCATACTCAAATGTTAACGAAGTATTTGCAAAATAACCTAAACTTTATGGTTGCGTAGAAAAATGTTTAACTTTTACAATACTTTTTAAAATAAATAAAATTTTCAACGGGAACGTTTTCACTTTTTTCAGCCTTTTTTGGCACAAAAATTTCTATGAAGTTTGACTTTGAAGTTTCACTACAAAAACACCAGACCACTTTTGACATTTATTTCAACGACAAGTGATGTAGAATTTTATATACTTTAACCGTGTGCAAAAATTTTTACCGATACTTAAAATTTAATTTTTTAATTAATCCAAGGAAACAGGGTATTCTAACCCACTGTGCAGCGTCGCAATCGCAATACACCATGGCGATGGGCAAGGCCAAGGTGGACAAATAGGTCCCCGACGCAACAATCGTTCACGTCGTCCAAATAACAGAAAACCCAACAACGGCGGAGGACAAAACAATCTACAACATAACGTTAACCAATCTAGACAATACCACCATCGCAAGCAGCACATAAAACATATGGCTACATTATTTCAACACTTTGTAACAACAACAAACGGTGACCGGAAAACAGCAAAACATATAAAAATCGATCGAAGGATATTAATTTCAAAAACATATCAATTCAAAATCTACCACAAAACTGCTATATCTATACCGCAATCAAGAAAGAAAATTGCAAAAAACAAATGACAACAACTAAGAAACCAAATTGTGAGTCCAACGGAAAAGGAGAGCATAAAACCACTAGGAAATGTACTGGTCAATCATCATAGGTAGTTCTTAAGGAATAATTTTAAATAATAAAATCAGAATAGAATTGACAGTCAAGAACAACAGTCTAATATCTTTCTCCCGCAACAACTTGTATTAACTTTCGACTGGCCACTCATATTGGTGATAGTTTACCAACAATAAATATCGGCATTTTATTAAAAAACATATCGTGTTTTATTTCTATTTCTTTTTTGCTCACGAGTACGCATTGGGCGTACTAACTCTATCGGGAGGATCTTTGCTCTGTACCTTCCACCACCCAAGTCCCTATAGTGCGGACTTAACACATACTCTAGCGGTAATGGTAACAATCCTTAATCTAGGGGTTCGTGCCTTATACCGTTGTCCTGCTAATAATCCACAAAAGAAGCATATTTTCTTCGTATAGTGTCGTTCAATGTGTTTTTGTATTTGAAATGAGTTCTTGGATACGTGATGTGAAATGTTGAATGAAGACCATATCAGGAAAATCAGCTTCACACCACACCTCCGTGCTTAACTGCATTTCTGGTAAACAATACACGCTTATGGGAAAGTCTCCACTGAACAAAAAAGAAAACTTTTTTTTATTTTATTGCTCCATAAGATATTTTGGTTCAATAACCGCGAACCAGTTGACATATGCGGTCAAAATTTGCCTCACATGATTTTAATGTCAAAGCAAATATTTCTATGGAAAATGAGGTCCCTGGGTCCAAGTTTTGATATAGCCCCCAAGTAACAGTACTTAACAATTTAATGTATTTTTTGTCTATTAGGCACATTTTACGATCAAATTGGCTATAATTTGGCACAGAGAGTTCTCTTTGGGTACTAAATATCCATGCAAAAATGTAGGTAAAATTGGCTGTAATTTGGAAATTTGGTACCCAAATTACAGCCAATTTGATAGTAAAATGTGCCTAATAGACAAAAAATAACTTAAATCGAAATGTAGGGTTATATGAGGGCTATAGCAAAACTTGGACCCAGAGATCCCGTTTCCCATAGCAGTAGTTGTATTGATATAAAACCCATATGAGCCAAATTTTGGCCGCCTATAATAAAGTATTGTAAAACTATCAATTTAAAATCGATTTGATAACAGAAAACCGGAAATAGGGTGTACAATATTTATTATCGATTCAATATAGTATATACCCAAATATATACCCACAAGTGCGCATTTACCAAATTTACCGGGTATTTACTCACTGCCCATCTTTAGGACAAACAATGTATGGAACATATATATTGCAGTACACAATGCATCGAACTTAAACACGTCCATTGAACCAAAACAATGATTTTTAATGTTATATAAAATAACACGTTGTAATGATTTTTATCCAGTTTAAAACTACATAAAATTAGATGAAAATGTTGTATAAGGATACACCACATTATTAAAAAATAGTAATTATTAATAAATAATAATCACAATATACGAAATTATACCTTACATGTAATTACCTGAGTTTTTACACACTTGTTCCTTACCATTTTGCTGGGATTTTCTTGAAAGTTCCTCTCGGTCTGGATTACTGGATATTAAACCAAAGAAATCAAATACCATGAACCATTTGTCAATTGATATTATCAAATTTAAGCAGTTGAAGTCAATATAACTTGCAACAATTTCGATCTTCTCATTGTGGGGTGAATTACTTGTAACTGACTTGTATATTACCAAATTTTCTGTAGATATTTTTCGATCGCTTATTTCTATATCATCGATTTTTTTAATAGCTTTCATGTCGCTTTCCTGTGCTGTCGTCGATGGATTTATCACATTGTTTAGATTTGAAGGTATGGATCCATATACTTTACACACATATAAATTGTTATTCTTTGAAAGGTCAGAACAAGAACTTGACTTCTTACTTCGAAACACATGCTGCAATTCATTCATATCATTAGATGAGTTGATCATTTTTCTATATTTGGACGTTAGAGGACATTTCAAATCTTCCATGATGACGGACCGAAGCTGTATTTCAAGTTCTTTCTGCTTTCCAGCAATTCTCATATTTTTGAAACTAAATTCTTGAAACGTAAGGTGTATCAATGACATTTTATGCTCATTTCGTAAATCTAATTTAAGAATAGGCACAGAAAATTGTACGCTTATCACTTGAAAGTTGGATACTGTATTAGCATCGTTTTGTTTTTCACTATTCTCAATGAATTTTTCCTCTACATTTGGTCTCTGAGCCTCTCTAGCAAGAACAATATTTGTAGCGTAACTTAATGACTCAATCAGCTGCTCGTATTGATACTTTGAAAATGAAACGTGCAAGTTTTGGGTTACACTCCCATCTACCTGTAATAAAGGAAATTAAGTTTTTTAATAGTAGAAAGCGTAATAAACATTTTATGTTAGATAAATAGGGATTACATATTATTTTTTATTCAATTTTATTATTATTTTTTTAGGAAAAGTGTTTTATTGAGTTTTTGCGCCAACAATTGATTACAACAAACAATTGTTGCGGAACAAAGTTATGTCAAAAATATTTTACAAGAACAAACGAACAAACAAATGTTCTAGCAATTTATGCTACTGAACAAATGCTGTACTTACATTTCGTAGGATGGTATTTTCATTTCAATTTTGAAATTTTCAAAAGTAAATTTATGAAAATGGGTGAATATTCCAGTTTTGCAACAGACTGACAAATTTAATATACACTCTACTTTGTGGTGGAATTGGCGCTGAACAGAAAAACATAAAACAAAAATGCATATACGGGTATGAACATAAAAGTAAAGGATGTTTGTAAAATACTAATTTTGACGTACATGAAAATGCCATATTTGCAAAAAAGCTGTTGGTAACACTTAAGGCAATTAAAAATCAATTAATAATTTGGACCTTTAATAATAACAAACAATTTCAATATTACTGCTGTTCATAAAAATGTGAACTTAAAACACTTCACATTTATGCATTCCATAAATTATGTTTAAGTTGTTTTATGAAAAGTGTCTGATAATAAAGTATGAATAGAAGTCCATACACAAAAATATTGGTGCGCTCATGGGGTGACATAAACAAATTAACACACTATCAATAGGAACAAAAGAACCCCGATGTGCACTGTGAGAATTGATAGGTATTATGATGTATATTATGCAAAGTTAAAATAGTTTGTGTAGTTCTTTACACTTTATGGCCCAATGTTGCCCACATGCAACAAAATGTTTTAGAGCTTATATTTTATATGGAGCTAGTAGATATATATTCTTTGGACTTAATATGTCAAGGCCTATGGACTACATATAACAAAAGAAAAATATAAAAAATCGATTTGTTGGTAAAGTTATGAGCTTTTCAATATGCTCAATGTATACAGTCCAAATTATTTAAATCGTTTCGTATTCAAATTGTACGACTTCTGCCATCAGAATTATTTTTGATTTTTGAAAAACATAATATAGAGAATAATTTAAAAATATTTTTCCGTTGATATTGCATTAGGTTTTCTTGATATTTTTCAGAAAGAATGTACTGTTTCTCCCGAACGCAAGGATGTAGCTATGATGCAATAATAAGTTGATGTATCAAAACAAAAACATTTGTTTTTGTCTCGACCTCCTGTCAAATTTTTTCATATAATATTTCACATGGTTGGAAACATTGCACATCGAATTCAAGTAGAAATTACGCACTTTGACAGTTAATCAAGTCATCAGCTGCGCTAAATGGACTACCTATTTATTGTGGCATTTATGTAGCGATGCCAAATTTTCCAAAGCAGATTTTTGTTGTAGCGGTGGATAATTAATCCACACGCCTACAATTGCTTCCATGGTATACACATGTTTCTGCGCAACCCTTTTGGAAGTGTGTTGCTCTTTTCCTGGCTTTCCTTTTCATTGCAATACTTAGATCATCAAGCTCGACTCGAAAGAGTTATAAATAATAACTTAAAATTACTTTCAAATGATCATTGCCCTTACAAGGCAAAATTCAAATAACAAAAATTAATTTCAGCTGAGCACGGCTAGGGCTCGAACCTAGGTCCTCGGAGCAAAACAAAAATTTTTTTACTTAACGTTCTGAGCCATCAACACACTTCCAAAACGGTTGCGCAAAAACATGTGTATACCATGGAAGCAATTGTAGGCGTGTGGATTAATTATCCATCGCTACAACAAAAATCTGCTTTGAAAAGGACTGTTCCTAGAATGAAGACAAATATCGAACTTAGACAAATTTGAATTTAATTCGCATATGCAAGTTTCGCATTAGGGCGGAAAAAATACAAGTTATCAACGTACGACCTTTGTAAAGCCACATAGCCCAATATGCCTGATGAGCCGCTTAACCAATGGCGAAACGCGTCGCATAGTTTTGGGTACGTAGGTTCTTCTCCTGACTTTCCTTTTCATTGCAAAACAAGCTCGACTCGAAACAGTTAAAAATAATCACTTAAAATTGCTTTCAAATGATCACTGCCCTTACAAGGCAAAATAATATATATATACAGTGGTGGTCACGCAATTAAAACATTTATTGTGGTAAACATTTTTTGATCAGCCCTCGATTTATTTGAAGTATTTTTGAAAATTTTGTAATTCAGAACACTTCGATATACTGCACTTAAGAGATTTGGTGTGACAATAGAAAATTATTGCATGCAATTTTTCCATAAATAACGGTTTTTATGAAAATACATCGACTTTGAAGTGGCCATATAATTAAAACATTGTGTATTTTTTTTACTTTACTGCATTTTTTTGAACATATTTTTAAACAATCACTTAAATTTAGGTAAGTTATGCAAATTAGGCATCGATAAAATCATTTACAAAAAACAAATTTTGAAAAAATTTGTAAAATTTACCAGAGGAACGATTCAATTTCGATAGTCTTTATTGAAGAAGGCCGGAATATTTTTGCAGTATGTGAGAAAATATCGATTGATATTGAAATTTATTATATCAAATCGATTGTTCGAGTAGTACAGAACATATTTGATCAAAAAATATATCAGAAATTTTTTTTTCTGGCACACAGCAGTATTTTTGATGCTCAACACAAGACTTTAAATATTTGTCAAATTGTAAATTTTTTTCTTCTTTTAGGCTAAAATAGATTAAATGGACACAGCAGTATTTTTGATGCTCAACACAAGACTTTAAATATTTGTCAAATTGTAAATTTTTTTCTTCTTTTAGGCTAAAATAGATTAAATGGACATTATACTATTCAAAAAAATATTATTATGGAAAAATATTGTCATGTTCAATAGATTTTAAGGGTCAAGAGTTAACCATCAAACATGCTGCTGTGTACCAGAAACGTTTTCTCGTCAACATAGGTGTTGATCTCTGTTCGTTCTGTTGTGACTGATATATTTTTTGATAAAATATATTCTGTACTACTCGAACAATCGATTTGATACAATAAATGCCAATATCAATCGATATTTCCTCACATACTGCAAAAATATTCCGGCCTTCTTCAATAAAGGCTATCGAAATTGGGTCGTTCTTTTAGGTTAATTCCCATTTTTCAGTTTTTATTTCAAATATTTATTTATTCTGAGAATTATTTATAGTTTTCTACACACAATGTTTTAATTATATGGCCACTTCAAAGTCGATGTATTTTCATAAAAACCGTTATTTATGGAAAAATTGAATGCAATAATTTTCCATTTTCACACTTAATCGCTTAAGTACAGTATATCGAAGTGTTCTGAATTAAAAAATTTTCAAAAATACTTCAAACGATTCGATGGCTGATAAAAAAATGTTTATCACAGTAAATGTTTTAATTCAGTGACCACCACTGTATATATATATATATATATATATAAAATGCAAAAAAGCGTAACTAACAAAAAATTGAAAATTGACTTTTTGAATGAATATTGCGAATGTCAATAAACTACATGTGTTGACAAAGTTTTACACGTCTGCGGTCAAAAAAGGAGCTTCTATTAACAAAAAACTAAAAGACGTAACTACAAGTGCGTTTATTTGATAAATGCAAAAACTCGTAACTAACAAAAAATTCAAATTTTTACTTAATTGTTATGACTGCCATTAAACAAAATATCTAAATTTGTTAACAAAATATTTTTTTTCCGGTCAAGCAAGGAATAGTCAGATATATTTAAAAATATTATATACTAGCGGGCCCGGCAAACGTTGTCTTGCCTTAGCAATATTGTTAAGGAATAATTTTCGATATTTTGGATTTGTTTTTCAATTTCTATTCATACTTGCATAAACAATTTTTGTATGAAATATCCATGAAAATTTTTGGTATAGATAAACATTTTATATTTGTCTCCCATATACCGATATTGAGTTTCAGAATATCGGGTTTCAGTTGGGTTGGGTCTAAAACACATCGACATTCACATAGAGTAACATTTCAGTTTTTTACAAAGAGTAACTTTACAGTTTTGATGTTTATGACCGAGTGTTGTTGCTATAGAAAATAAATAAACCTATAATTGAAAAATGTGCGAGGATATTTTACAATTTTTGTTCTTGATTTATAAGCGGTGCAATTGTCGAAACGGCAAACGATGTTTTCCCTTCAAAATTTCCCTGGATATAATTTTTGTAATAATTTAGATATCAAGAGCCGGAATTGTCATTCAGTATTCGGATTTAATTAGATTATTTTCCCAATATGTTTATACGACTTCCACATAACGATAGCCTAATGCTATGTAAGCTTTTTGTAGCTTTCACCATAAGGTAAAATGTATATTAAATTTGTCATTCCCTTTGCAACACTGGGGCCCCCAGAAAGTATATGTATATAATATTGATCAGAATAAAAATCTATGTTGAAATCACGATAGTGATCAAAATATTTAAGATAGAGATTAGATTGGTTGTTTGTTAATGAAAATAGTATATATCGGTGTAGGTTAAGAAAAATATGCTGGTTTGAAATATGTTCGCGTTCACAAATTCTGATTCTGCACACAAAAGTTATAGCGATTTTAAATCTTGTATTTCAAATATAAATTAAATGAATTCCTATTAGTTGTAATTAGCGAATTTTTTCACAAATGGTTAAACACATTTCTTTTCTTTGCATACTTGTCAAATCACATTGAATTACGGTTAAATTGTCGCAAAAAACAAATGGAAGCATGAAAATATCTGAAAATAAAATAAATTAAATTTTTAATTAAATCGAAATGTCTTTTGAATTTTCGATTTTTTTAGTATGGTTAAGGGAATACGGTTTTGCCTTAATCTTCTAAAATATGCGACGCTTTTTCCTTCAAATTCTTTTAGATGATTGTTAAATATCGGTATTTTCATCTGATAACAGTTTCGACTGAA